TTATTAGATATTTATATACAAAAAATTGATCCATACCTCACATCATGTACATAAATTAACTCAAAGTGGATCACAGACTTAAATGTAAACCCTAAAACTATAAAACTTCTAGGAAAAATTAAGAGAAAAATTTTGTTGAACTTGGATTAGGCAAAGATTTCTTACAGTTGACATCGAAAGTATGATTCATAAAGGAGAAATTTGATAATTTGGATTTAATCAAAATAAAAACATCTCTTTAAAAAACACTGTTATACAAACTACAGACTGGGAAAGAGTCACTGCAAAGCATCTATCTGATAAAATATTTGTATTCAGAATACATAAAGAACTTCAACATTCATCTAAAAAAAATGTAATGCAGTAAAATTGCACTTTACCAAGGAAGATATACCAATTGCAAGTAAGCACATTAAAAAATGTTCAGCATAATTATCAGGGAAATGCCAATTTAAAACAGAATGAGTTACCACTACACACTTATTATAATGGCTAAAATTTAAAAAACTGATTATATCATGTGTTAGAGAAATGTGGAGGAAATGGAAGTATCATACACTGCTGGTGGGGATGTGAAGTGGTACAGCTATCTTGGAAAACAGTTTGTCAGTTTCTTAAGAAGGTATACCTACACTGGGCATGTGATCCAGCCATTCTTCTCCTAAACATTTACCTGAGACACATTTACCCAAGTGAAAATAAATTATACATGCATAGAAAGACTTGTAGATCAATGTTTTTGACAGTTTATTTTTTCTGCCCAGCTGGCACATTTATTGGCATTAAACATAAGACCTTTCCCCTCCCTGGCACCAGGAAGCCACGCCCAAGGGGTATCCCTCTGCCCCATTTCTGCAACAAACTCTCAGGTCTTAGCAGTAGCCTGAGGTGCCCCCAGGGCTCTGGGCTGCTGAATCGTCTGGCTCATCATTTCTATGACAGCCGGTTTCATGGCGTGCTCCTGGAGAGCTGGTGGATTTTCTCCATCTGCTTGGTTAGGAAGTCTGTCTTCCTCTTGAAGAAGTCCTTGGCATCCTCAGCTATCTTTTCTACATAGTACCCAGTTCCTACATCGATGAGCACATGTTCCACATCATGCAGCTACTCAGGGACATACATCGAACTCATCAGTGGGATGAATAATTCTCTTCCCTTGTTGCTCTTACTCAGCATGTTCAGACAGTCCTTGGCTTCTGCATACTTGGTCTGTACCACTTTGAGCTGGGCAAAGGACGTGGACAAGAACTCCACTTCCTGGTCCAGCTGGTTCTTGAGCATTTCTAGCTGTGGCAGATTCATCTCCATGATAGTCTTGGAAGTTTTATTTATAAAAGCCTAAAACTGGAAAAAATCAAATATCCATCCATAGATGACAGATAAACAGATTATGGCACACCCATACAATGAAATGCTACTCAGCAATAAAAACAAATGAACCATTATGGATATATGCAGCAATGTAGGTGAATTTCATATTATGCTGAGAAAAGCCAGAGAAAATATAACCGTGCATTATTACATACATATAAAACTTTAGGAAATGCAAACTAATCTATTATGACAGAAATTCTGTTTCAGGGGCAGGGAGGGGTGAAAAGGGGCAGGAGATTACCAAGGGAATAAGGAGACTTTGGGAGGTTCACTATGTTGGTTGTGATGATGGTTTCACAGGCATATTCATATGCAAAACTGATCAAACTGTGTACTTTAAAAACATATAACGTATTGAATGTCATATTTCCCTCAAAGCTATAAAGAAAAAAATCCTGACTTTCTTAGATAAAAGTAGTAGTCTACTTTTCTCTACCTTTAAAAAAATGTATTCTGACAGCGTGCCCTAGCAGTATATAAAATTACTTTCTTTTATAGCTTCACAGTATACTTTGTTGTATTCAATATGTCTTTCATTCATGGCCATTTTGGTTGTTTCTAGTCTTTTGTTATAAGTAATGCTGGAATAATACAGTTTTGTGCATATATTTTTCAGCATTTGTTGTTATATCCCCAGTATCTTTGAGATAGATTTTTAGAAGTGGGATTGTTGAGTCAGTAGATAAATATACAAGTTATTTCTGGAGATGTTGCCAAATCATAGGGGTTGTATGATTTTATATAGAGATCAGCATAGAATGAGAGTGCCTGCTTCCTCCACATTCTCTCACCTATAGAGTGTGTTGTCAAATGTTTGGATCTTGCCAAGATAAGTGAGAAATCATATTTCATTGTAGGTTCAATTTGTATTTCTTGTATTATGAGTGAGGCAGAGCATGTTTCCATATGTTTTTAAATTATTTGCATTTCTTTTCCTGGGATCTGTTCATTACCTCAGCCCATTTTTCTATAGGTTTGCTGGTGGCTATCTTCTTATTTGTAAAGCACTTTATATTTTAGGAATATTAATCCTTCATAATTTGTTACAAATATTTTTTCTTAGGTTACCATTGCCAAACTTGGATTATTTTGCAATTTTTGTGGATGGGGTTGGGCGTTTTTTTTTGTTTTTCAGTAATCAAATTTACAAATCATTTTCTTTGTTGCTTTAGGATTTTGATACATAATTAGGAAGGTCTTGCCCACTCACATAATACACAGAGACAGTCACTCAATTTTTTCAACCATTTGTTTTCATTTTTTACATTCAGGTTTCTGATTAACTTGGAATTTATGAACAATGAGAGAAAAAGATCCAGTTTTATTTTCCATATTATCTAGATATGTAATACCACTTATTAAAAAGTCTGTTAACCGGCGGACTTGCTGTATCCCAAATTTCCAGTGCAGTGGGGTCTATTTCTGGATTTTTTTATTCTGCCCCGTGGTGGGTCTGCATTCTTGGGCCAGTACCATACTGTTACTACAGATCTTGCCCTCCTCTTGTACCACACCCTTCATATATCTTCTTTCTTAGGGTTTTCCTGCTTGTTCTTGCTTGATTGTTCCTCTGAGTTGACTTTATATTCAACTCGAAGATAAACCTTTAAAAGTCTAAAAATGGTATTTTTATCTACAGATACCATTTTTCCCCCCACAGATTAAATGTCCCCGGTTTCTTCAACTTCTGGAACGTGATTTCCATACTATTCATTATCCTTGTCCTTTTCCACAAGTCATGTAACCCCAACCTTAAGATGTGGTCGGCCACTTGTAGTCCCAGCTTCTCAGATGGCTTGAGTCCCGGAGTTTGAGTCCAGCCTGGGCAACATAGGGAGACTCCCTCCCCTTTCCCGCAGCCACCATCTAAAAAAAAAAAGTGGGACCCATAACTGAACCCCTGTGCATGGGGGTGACACGATGACATGACTCCTGGGTAAGGCTTTTTAATAAGAGTGTCGGCAAGAATGTGAGACAGCGAGTGCAATGGAGGTCAGCAGGCGGAACGCTAAGCAGAGGACTGAGTAGGCAGGGAAGAAAGGCCGTGCACGGCAGCGGCGCCCCATCTGAGCGGTGGTCCTTCCACGCTGTGACAGGAAGGGTCAGCTCCGGGCCAGCACGAGAGGCCTGCCTTTCTCCTTTTCCCCAGCTGCTGCCCACAATCCTCCTCTACGTAGATCCCTGCCTCCTTACTCCGGGGCTCTGTAAGTCGCAGGTTCCTGGCGGAAGCGCCAGTCACTTCCGCCTCCCTTTACTTGAAGTCTTCCGCTCCCCATTCGCTCTTCTCCCCCGCCACCTCGACAGTTGGTTCCGTCTGCTCTGGTCCCGCCCTCGCGGGCCAACTCTTTTGGTGCCTTGACATGCGCCAGGGGCCGTGGCTGATGACGTGCTTTATAGGCGGCATAAAGCGAAAGTGCCGGCAGCGGTGGAAGGCGAAGTTCAATCCCAGAGTCCGCCCCCTGAACTGGGGCCTTTCCGCAGGAGGAAGCTCTGAAAAACAGGGGACCCAGTGCCATTCCCCTGGGAATTGTCGCTTGCATTCAGCTGTTCTACACAATGGACTCAGTACCTGCCACTATGCCTTCTATCACCGCTACCCCGGGGGACCCGGAACTTCTGGGACCCCTGTCGGTGCTCTACGCAGCCTTCATAGCCAAGCTGCTGGAGGTGACAGTCCCCATTCCCAGGGAGGGACTCAAGCTGTCACAGGCGGGTGGAAGAGTTCTGAGCAGAGTGGGTGCATTGATTGTGCAGAGGAGAAATGGAGTGTGTCAGATCCGAGGAAAGCAAGACGTTTCTATGCTGTTTAGGGAGGCAGATGGGAGTGTGTTTGAGAAAATTTGTCCCCTTTTTTTTATTTTATTTTATTTTTTTTGCGTACTTACGAAGTTACAGCACTTTATGTTCTGGTGTGAAGTCACGATCAAAACACAGAGGGCTTACAGGTCTTTTCCGCATAACCCCCGGCTCTGTTGGGGGATGGGACCAGTATGATAGTGTACTTGTAGAGGGCTGTGAAAACAGCATAGATCAGACAGGTGTTTAATGCACTGTTTTCAAGGAAACATTTAGTATTAAGGCACTAAATTCAAAGCGGTTTATCTAGATCAGTTATCAGGGGCTATCCAAACTTAGCATTTGTTCTTTGTTTATGTAAGAGTCGATTTAAGATTTTAAATCTTAGAAGAATAACACATTATTTGTGGTATTCATTATCATCATATTGGTTTTATTTGCAGCCATAGAAAGTCGGTTACTTATATATATAAGGTTTTATATCTTATGTGGTTTTTTCAGCAATAAAAAACCTGTTCGAGAGAAAAGTGTGATGCAGAGAGATTCCAGCCATGTTTTAGATAACATATTGTATCAGGGCCTATTGTAAACTAGAAATATATGCCCAACCTAAAGACATTCAGACTCATAGTACTTCAGAACACAACAAGCCAAACAATAAGTGTGAGACTCCCAGTATCCTATTTTTCTTGAAGCAGTGAGAGCTACTGAAGATTTTTGAGGGGATAGGTATCTGATAGAGTTGGTTTAGAATTTCTGTGAATGAATCTTTGTGACTGCTTTATGGTAAGCTTCTTTAAGGTTTCTCATTATTTCTAACATGCCCATTTCAGCTAGTTGCTACATTGCCTGATGATGTTCAGCCTGGGCCTGATTTTTATGGATTGCCATGGAAACCTGTACTTATCACTGCCTTCTTGGGAATTGTTTCGTTTGCCGTTTTCTTCTGGAGAACTGTCCTTGTTGTGAGTAAATTAATGCATGCTTTAACTCATAAATTCAAGTATGGTTTTATAATCACAGCCCTTTTATTTCTTTTTCAGTTTCTAATGTGAACAGATATTAATGCTTTTAATTCAAGCTAATCTTGTACAATAATTTAGTATAATTTTTGTGTTGGTAGATTCTTAAGTGGATAAGACAACACGTATAATCTCAATGGGAAAACTTCAGTTTATATGTCCCTTATATCAAAATCTAAATATTAAGAATTAGGTGGGTCTTTATTTCAACTCACAAAGGAAAAAAAGAAAGAATTAGGTAGGACATATGTACACTGTTAGTAGAACTAGGAATTCTTAGAGCCATCCTGAAAAATAGTTTCATGATGTCTATCATAAGCCTTAAAAATGGTTATATCCTTTTATATTGTATTAATAACATGTCTAGTAATCAATCCTAAAGAAATAACCAGTCGGCCAGACACAGTAGTTTAACGCCTGTAATCTCAGCACTTTGGGAGTCCGAGGCAGGCGGATCACTTGAGGCCAGGAGTTTGAGACCAGCCGAGCCAACATAATGAAACCCCATCTCTACTAAAAATACAAAAATTAGTGAGGTGTTGTGGCACATGCCTGTAATCCCAGCTACTCGGGATGCTGAGGCAGAGAATCGCTTGAACCTGGGAGGCGGAGGCTGCAGTGAGCCGAAATGCGTCGCTGCACTCGAGCCTGGGTGACAGAGTGAGACTCCTCCATCTCAAAAAAAAAAAAAAAAGAAAGAAATAACCGATCATGCGTTAAATATCTTACATGGCCAGGTGTGGTGGCTCACACCTGTAATACCAGCACTTTGGGAGGCAGAAGCGGGTGGATCACATAAGGCCAGGAGTTCGAGACCAGCCTGGCCAACAAGATGAAACCCCTTCTCTACTAAAAATACAAAAATTAGCCAGGGGTGATGGCGAGAGCCTGTAATCCCAGCTACTCAGGAGGCTGAGGCAGGAGAATCGCTTGAAACGGGGAGGCAGATCATGCCACTGCACTCTAGCCTAGGCGGCAAAATGAGACTCTTGTCTCAAAAAAAAAGTTTTAAATATCTTACATAAGAGCATTCAGCAGAACAGTATTTATTAGAGTGAAAATTTGAACACAACCTACTGTGATTCACAGTGGGAAAGTTGTTAAATTATTGTATGTTCATATAATGGGATATTAGGCTGCTTGATATAATTCAAAGACATAGGGGCACAACAAATACTCACAATTTAACATGAAGTAGAAGAAAAGTAGAAACCAAGACTTTAAGGTATAAACTGTATATTACAGCAGCATACACACAGAAAATAAATGCTGCAAGGAAACACAACAAAATGATAAAAATTCTTATATCTAGGAGATGAGGTAAGTTTTCAGTTTTTAAAAAATGTGTATTTCCCACATTTTCTGATTTGATCATGTACTGTTTTACTCAGAAAATATCTTTTTATTTGTAAATACAAATTATATCCTGTGTAAAGACACACCATTAATTTTTTTATCTTCTGTGCAGAATTTGTCTTTCAGACTTAAACATATGTATGTATAAGTGTGTATACTCATACTTGTACATACTTATGATTATACTATATAGCATTCGGCTTCATAGTTATTTAACATAATTGGGAGAAGATTATTTTGTGTAAATGAACTTTGCAGATGAAAAGCTTCCTATTGAAACTTCACAGTTAAAATGGCCAAAATTATTGTGTGCCAATCTTCTAAAACTGAGTAGTCTTTTTCTGATTTCATAATTATATCACATATATCATCATTAATAAATTTTCTCTGCTTTCACAATTGATTGTAAAATTACTTAAAAAGAAGGGTCTTTTCTCCTGTGAGGCCTTCTCTAACCTCGTGGTGCTTTTTCTCAGATAAAAAGGGAGAATCAAAGGGTAAATGGAAGGGGAAAAGGTGAAAACATTTTACATTTCCCTCTCGTTTCTCCTATTTGTTAATAAAAAAAATTCTGACGCCATTTTCATTTTTTAGAAAGTTGTATAGGCTCTGTGTCCTAACTGTCGTTCCTCAGCACTTGACTTTTGGAACCTTGGTCTCTACTTGCCTGTTAGTTTGGGTAAAATGGAGCAGAGGAAGTTAACTCTCATTAGCAAGGCCGTGACATTAGAGGGATAGTAATTTCTTTCCGTGTTGGAATTTTCTGAATGCATATTCCTATAACAATGGTATTATAAGTGAGATTTAAATACTGTAATTATTATGTATGCAGTATATTAATTACTGTATACAGTAATACAGTATATTATGTAAACAGTGTATTTGCTGAGATTATGGATGATTTGTGGACTGGTGTTAGCATCTCATCAACATAATATTTGAAAGGGAAAATATATTCTGGGTTGCAAAGAAATTTGGTAATATTCTTTTTAAAAAATTAGTTACTGCTTAGATTTTTTTGTCCTATAATTTAGTGCTGTCTTTAGGGGATGATTTGGGTTTTGCCCTTTCAGGAAGATGATAGTTGTCATTTCTCTTGTTGCTTATGCATTTTCCTCTAGCAGTCTTCCCTTCCCTGTCAGGTTTATGAGCACTGTTTTTAGTGGTCTAGGAAAATCGAATGATCTAGTTTAGTATTAATAGAATTATTTTTAAATTCAGCTACTAGTCAATTTTGAATAGGATTTCTGAGATGTTTTCTGGTGAGCAAAAGAGGTGTGTGTCTTAGTACGAAGATCATACCTTTAATTTTGTTTCCTCAGAGTGTTTTTGAGTAGTCATTGTTTTTAGATATCATTCTGGCTATTTGGAGTTGTCAAATAAATAAAATGAATAAATAAAATGTTAATATATTTATTACAAAAATATTAGCCATTTCTGTTATTCAAGCTAAGTGCTCATTTCATAAAACTGGTGCTCATTTAGATATATAAACGTCTCTTTAGCTGCAGAGTAAGGTATTTACCTTAGTGCTGTATCTGTCAGACTACAGCATATCACTACTGGTAATGTTTGAAATGCTTTTTAACCTTTTTAAATTTTTTTCATCTTGTGGATTCATGCTAAACCAAACTATTATTAAATTCTCATTTGGTTACAATTCTGACAGTTGTATTGGAAACTATGTACATCTGTTAATAAAATGTTTGACATCAAATTTAATTTTATTTTTCTTTTCTAGGTGAAGAGTAGAGTATATCAAGGTAAATCTTTTGGCTTATTTTGTACTATTCCCTCTGTATTGTTGTTTGATATGGGTTTTATATATAAGTAGTTTTAGTGACTTCTGATATCTGACTGACTTATAGCTTCTGAAAACTTGACTATTCCTAGGTTGCCAGGTTGGATGATAGAGGAAATGGTGATGCTACCAACTGAGATAGGAGATGAAGAGGAACAAATTACGGGAGTAGGGAGAAGATAATTAATTTGAGGCAGACTGACCTTAAATGTTGATGTAGTACCAATTTATTCCATGTGACCAGTGTTTCTTTGCTAATGATTTAGTCAGTACATTAAATATTTATTTAAGTAGATAATTTGAGGACTAGAAATGTAAATCAGCATGACTGCGTTTTCTGTTTCTCTTTGCAAATGACATATTTGAAGTGATGCCATTTTCTGAGAAGAAAGATGCTTCATGCAGGGAGGAATACTGAGCTATAACATTTTACTGTATTTCCTATCTTGGAAATAAATTAGACTCTCATTGAAATAAAGGTTCTTATTATATTTTTCTTTTATTATAACAGTATTTTTACATCCTTATTCTTGTTAGCAGATTGCTTTTTGTATTAATCTGTTTTCACACTGCTATAAAGAAATACCCAAGGCCAGGTGTGGTGGTTCACGCCTGTAATCCCAACACTTTGGGAGGCCAAAGCAGGAGGATTGCTTGAGCTCAGGAGTTCGAGACCAGCCTGGGCAACATGGGGAAACTCCGTCTCTATTTAGAAAAAATACAAAAGTTAGCTGGGTGTGGTGACACACACCTGTAGTCCCAGCTACTCAAGATGCTGTGGCAGGAGAATTGCTTGAGCTTGGGAGGTGGAGTTTGCAGTGAGCTGAGATTGTACCACTGAACTCCAGCCTGGGCAACAGAGCAAGACCCTGTCTCAAAAAAAGAAATACCTGAAACTGGGTAATTTATAAGAAGTTTAATTAGCTCATGTTTCTGCAGGCTATAGGAAGTATAGCGGCATCTGCTTCTGAGGAGGCCTCAGGGAGCTTTTACTCATAGCAGAAGGCAAAGCGAGAGCAGGCCTTCTTACTTGGTGGGAGCAGGAGTGAGAGAGAGTTAGCGGAGAGTTGCCGCATACTTTTAAACAACCAGATTCCACAAGAACTCAGTCACCATCATAGAATAGCACCACAGGGATGGTGATAAACCACTTGTGAGAAATCTACCCCGTGATCCAATCACCTTCCACCAGGCCCCACCTGAACACTGGGGACACTGGGGGCTATAATTTGACATGAGATTTGGTGGAGACACAGACCCAAACCATATCACTTTTTAAAACTATAATAGTTATGCTAAGAAGTTCTTTTTCCTGATAGTGCCAGATAACATGTCTTTGCTGCTGATCCATTGGGTAATTCAGTTTCATTTAGTGATCATAATAACTTCATTATTTTTTTCTTTTTTCAGTCACGGAACAGCAAATTTCTGAGAAGTTGAAGATTATCATGAAAGAAAATACAGAACTTGTACAAAAATTGTCAAATTATGAACAGAAGGTATAGTTATTCTTTTGGTTTTTTTTTCCATGGTCCCAGCTTGAATTATTTTCACCTATCTTATAGTTCAGTTACTATGGTATTTTAAAATAATATTTATTATGCCATTAATTCCTATAAACCATCCAGATCTTAAGCAGTCATATGTGTAAAGTACTGTTCTCCTCTGTAAGAGGTCAGTCACTTGAAATTGAGTTCTGGTAGCACTATACTTTGTATTTCTGGATTCTGAATGCTTTATTTTATGTAGATCAAGGAATCAAAGAAACATGTTCAGGAAACCAGGAAACAAAATATGATTCTCTCTGATGAAGCAATTAAATTTAAGGTAAAAAATTATTTTGAGGATTTCATTTTAAAACAAAAGTATAAGTAATGACTATAACTAACCTTAATATCTTTTTTGTAGGATAAAATCAAGACACTTGAAAAAAATAATGAAATTCTGGGTGACGCAGCTAAAAATCTTCGTGTTATGTTAGAGTCAGAGAGAGAACAGAATGTCAAGAATCAGGACTTGGTAAGAGTTTTGCTGCTAAGTGTTACTAACAGTTTGGGTTTTGAACTCTTTTGTAGATTGAGTTGAACTCTTTATTTTCCTTGCTGTTACGTGAAGTAAGAGTGCGAGTCAGGGAAGTTGAACCTACTTCTGTCCATTTTTGTGGAATTTTAAATACTTACACAAGAAGTTATTCTTATGGGCCTAGGAAGTATTTTGGTTTTCAACCCTAGGTAATTGTCATATTGCTTGGCTCTGCCCTCTGAAACATGTGGAACAACTAGGAAACAACAGTCCTTGTGTTTTATTTTGTTTTGTTTTGCAAAGTTTTTTTTTTTTTTTTTGCTGTAAACATTTTACTTTATTAATAGAATACTTTTAGAATGACCTAAAAGTTGCAAAGATAGTAGAGAGTGTACCCATAAATCCCACACCCTATTAATCTTGATGACCTCACTGAGGTAGTATTACCACATTTCTTCACTGTAAAATTACTTTTTTTTTTTTTTTAACTTTTTGCATTATTTGTACCCTTTGGAAGGAAGTTACTAACACAGCCCACAGTGAAAAAGGGTTATGCTGTGTCCCCTTGAGGAGCCAGAATCTTCATAAATTATCTAGAATTCTTCTGTATGGGTGATCTGTCTATTTTCACTCCAGTCCTACCATTTTTAATTTAGGCAAGAGCATTTTTAAAGTACCTTGGGGATTTTTTTTCTCTTGCTACAAGAAAAAAAAGTCGCATTGATTTGAACTGGTTTACTTAAAAGTTTTTTCAGTTTCTCTTATTTCACCTTTTAGTCTGGTCATCTACCACATTTTATTCTAACCAGGAAGGTTGTGTATGCCATGAAATATTTATGCCTTCGATTATTTTCCCTTACCTCTTTAAGTTCTTGATTTTTCCCTAGGGCAAAACTGAAACACCTGCTTTTACCTGAAACATAGGGGATGGCTCTAGGACATACTTTGTTGATGTTTCTTCTTTTCAGTACATATCCCAGTGTTTCTACTGAAATCCTAATATACATTTTGTGTTCTGTTTTTACATGGCAGATATCAGAAAACAAGAAATCTATAGAGAAGTTAAAGGATGCTATTTCAATGAATGCCTCAGAATTTTCAGAGGTAAAGCTGACTATAATTCCTGCAGGATATTAATACTATATTATAGTTTGATTGCAGAGCAAAAGTTTGATGTGTGCTAAAATGTGCAAAAAATGAAAACTACATGATGTTGGGCTGGGAAAGTAACTTTTTTTGATTTTCTTTGGAATTAATTCACTAATAGGAGTGTTTTGCATTAGGTTCAGATTGCACTTAATGAAGCTAAGCTTAGTGAAGAGAAGGTGAAGTCTGAATGCCATCGGGTTCAAGAAGAAAATGCTAGGCTTAAGAAGAAAAAAGAGCAGGTAAAGGAAAGTGCGTGTCCTAGGTCATGTAAAATAGAGAACCCAGTATCATACCTCATGAATGCCTTTTCTCAGATCTATTTTAAGGTAATATATGTGCAGGATTCTGTTCTTAGATATGCAAAGTTTAAAGTATGCTTCCAAAATTGAGTGTAGGTATACATTCTCTATCTGTTCTGGATTTTCTGTTCTGTACAATTTATTTTGGCTATCAGAGTGTGTAGTCTTGTTTTGGCAAACACCAATTGCTGTTAACTTGAGTAGCCTCCAGTGGGTAATAGATTGGCTTTTTAGACCTAAGAGTTAGATATTTTATAACCCTCCTTTGAGTAGTTACTGCTTCACTAGCCAAGGGAAGGTTACATGAGCAGGAGTCTGGACTTGGGAGATAGCAGGATGAACCCTTCTGTTCCTTCTGGAAGTGAATTATTTGAATTGGCTACCATTTTCTGAAGGATGCAATAAACGAGATCCAGTTTCCTTGACAGCTCTGATGTTCTCACTGTAGCTCTGAGGGTTGGGACCACTCTCTCCTCCCGCTTAACTAAGGTCTTAGCACATAGTGATAGGCCAAGGAGCGGCATGGCTCCTTATTTCCCTGTCTCATTCACTTGGTCCTAATGTCTCCAGTACAAAAGCCCTAACCTGTGGGAATCTTGTGTTTTAACTTTTCAGTTGCAGCAGGAAATCGAAGACTGGAGTAAATTACATGCTGAGCTCAGTGAGCAAATCAAATCATTTGAGAAGTCTCAGAAAGATTTGGAAGTAGCTCTTACTCACAAGGATGATAATATTAATGTAAGTACGTTCTCATGAATACAAGCTTAATTCTTGTGAATTATCATGAAATCTGTAGAATTAAATGGAAAGACTCTTAATGCCCTTTTACTTCTTTTCTAGGCTTTGACTAATTGCATTACACAGTTGAATCGGTTAGAGTGTGAATCTGAATCTGAGGGTCAAAATAAAGATGGAAATGATTCAGATGAATTAGCAAATGGAGAAGTGGGAGGTAAGATCAGTCCCAAGGAGGATGGACCCGTTTTGCCTTCCTGTCTTTAAGTGCACCAGTGCTACTTTTCACCTGGCTGAATTTCCTCTTAAGCTTTCGAGTTGTAAACACGTATCATTGGATTTGAATGTATGTCTGCTTGCATTGCGCAGAGGTGGATTGCTAGGGTGTGGTGTAGCAATAAACATGCAGTGAACACTGACTTTGTTTTTACATTGAGACTAGAAGGGTGCATGGGAGCTGCACTGGTCATGTCTTACACCTCTAAGTATTGAACACATACAGTAGTAGAAACTTATTTCTCAGTTTCATGAAGATAACATGTTAAAACTTGTCATCTCAGTAGCTGTGTGGTTTTAAGGCCCACAACTGTTTTAAGAGTACTGAGGTGGTTGGAGGCATAAACTGACTAAGGCCATGAAAGAAAACCACAACTGGTTTTGAGAGTGCCGAGGTAGTTGGATCCATAAACTAAGGCCATGAGAGTGGAGGCTATAGGGTAGCAGTGTTTACTGATGAGGACAGTGTTTCTAGATGCCCTCTCTCAAGTTGGATATTGCTTGTGTAGTGGGTGTTTAAACCACACCTGGTAGCAGATTCTGGAGGAGAATAGGAGGGAATGTTTCTGAATAAGACACTAAGCCCAGATGGAGGTAGATATGAGAGAGAAGAAAGAGCTTTTATCTCACATGTTTCTTCTTGCTCAAGAATGGCATGTATAACATGTTTATGTACAAATGGGAATTCACTTTTTCAGTCTTAAGTTTGCAGTTCTCTTAAAAGTCAGTCTAACCCTGTTCTGTTTTTGTTTGTTCTTTAAATGTTTGAACATGACAATTGTTTGGTTTTGGGTAAATCAAGAAAATATGGATTTAAAAAGCAAAGGAAGAAAAAGCAATGAAAGAAATCCTTTTGTTTTTTAGGTGACCAGAATGAGAAGATGAAAAATCAGATTAAGCAGATGATGGACGTCTCTCGGGTATAATCCTTTTTAGAGTCCCATAATTACCTGTGAATGCTTTTGCTATGCCTCACTTTTATGAATACTTCTCTCTTCTGCAATTTTTAGACACAGACTGCAATATCGGTAGTTGAAGAGGATCTAAAACTTTTACAACTTAAGCTAAGAGCCTCCGTGTCCACTAAATGTAACCTGGAAGGTAGGTTGCTTCTTGAGAAGAAATTGCTATATCTTGGAAAGATACAAAATTGCATTAGAAAGATAAAGAGCAGCTTCCTGCTTTCATTCGTCTCATTTCTCTCAGCACCAGCCCCCAACCAAGTTCTCAAGTTCTTGTGCACACACATAAAACTCCCATGTTTTATCCTTTACAGACCAGATAAAGAAATTGGAAGATGACTGCAACTCACTACAAGCTGCCAAAGCTGGACTGGAAGATGAATGCAAAACCCTGAGGCAGAAAGTGGAGATTCTGAATGAACTCTATCAGCAGAAGGAGATGGCTTTGCAAAAGTAAGACTGTCATCATTTCCTGTGAACTGTATTGTCATGTGACTAAATAAATGTGTACTAATACAGATACTGTTATCATTTTTTAGGATTATTTATACTTTTTTACATCTGTAATTAGTATAAATTTGTCTTTCTTTCTTTCTGCTTTGTTTCTCATAAGCTGCATTTTTCTTTCCTTTCTAACCAGTAGTCAGAAACTGTTGCCTGTAGCTCCCTGAAGGGGGAGCAGTGTGCTCGTGCCCACAGGTGCTGCTGTGGAGTGCTTCTCTTTGGAAGATCTAGCCATGCCTTGTCTGTGGCTCCACCACTTGTTTCACTTTCCTTTCTTTGTGGTCAATTATGTAATTTCCTTTAAAAAGTCTGAGTGATTTTGTATGACATGTGTTTTACTAGAATAAAAACTTCAAAAAAGGAAAATTTACTTATTGCAGGTACATTTAGTTTTGGACTTCACAGAGTCAAATATTCAAACTCAATATAATTGTGGCAAAGATATTAGGAGTTTTGAATATAAAACTATTTGGCGTGTATATTTAGATATTAATCCTCTGAAATACATGTCTCAAATTTTGAGCGAGGCACCTTTTGAAAGCTGTATTTTTATAGTTCAAGTTTTTTCTCCACAAAAACATCTGAATTCTCTAAAAATAGGTTATCTGTGGCAGTTGCTATTTGTGTTTGCTCTTATCTTTTATTCTTTGGTATATATGGCAGTGTGTGAGAAGGCCTCTCTTGCTAAGCAAATTTAACTTTTTAAAATGCTTAGACTGCTAGTGCTGTATGCCATTAAATATTGAAACTATGCCATTAATGTTTTCTCTAATTCTTTGCTCACCAAGCAGCCAGTTTAGATTTTCCAGGTTTTGTTCAGGCCAGCTCTAAATGCCTGTTCTGCTTCAGAGTGACATTCCCCATTTCATTACTTTTTAAAAACAAACACTTCTCTGCCTCCAATAGTAATGTGAATTACTTAAATGGCAACTGTTTTTCTTCATTATACAGTTAACCCATTGATGTGGCAGTATTTTACTCAACTTCCCCAACATTCATTCAGTCTCCTTGTCTGGTTTGTACTCTGCTGTCTACCCCTAAAGTCACTGTGTTAGTTCAGGCCCTTGTCATCTTTTATGCCAGTCCCTAGCTAATCACGTATCTCCAGTCTTTCCTTTCCTTTCCTGTCCTGTCCTGTCCTGTCCTGTCCTTTCCTTGTTTTCTTTCTGACGGAGTCTCACTCTGTCACCCAGGCTGGAGTGCAGTGGCACAGTCTCGGCTCACTGCAAGCTCCGTCTCCCAGATTCATGCCATTCTCTTGCCTCAGCCTTCCAAGTAGCTGGGACTACAGGCGCCCATCACCACGCCCAGCTAATTTTTTTTGTATTTTTAGTAGACATGGGGTTTCACCCATGTTAGCCAGGATGATCTCGATCTCCTGACCTCGTGATCCGCCCGCTTTAGCCTCCCAAAGTGCTAGGATTACAGGTGTGAGCCACTGCGCTCGGCCCCCCATCTCCAGTCTTTCTTATACAGCTTCTTCCCAGTTCCGATTGTCTATATAGTTGCTAGAGTAAACTTTTTAAAATACAAGTCTGTCCATGTCATTATGTGCTTAAAATCTATCAAGGATGCTCCATTCCCTTCAGGGTGAATTCCAGACTCCTTAACAGGTAGAGGCCACTTTCCCCTCAGCTAGTCCTGAGCTGCCTCTCCAGGTGCATTTCCTGTAGTTTCTTCTGATGCTTCTTGAACTGCAGACTCTGAACCGTTCCTCCATGCCACTCTAAACCTCTTTGTCTTTATGTATGTTGTTTTCTCTGTAGTAAAAATGTCCTTTATTGTTTCTGCCTGGCAGTCTCCTACCTACTCAAATGTTTATGCTCCTAAAAGTCTTTTTTGGAGTGAGTTGTAGCATAAATAAATAAGTAGCCATAGAGACTGAGTACTCATTTGCTTCTTAAATATAATTCCTAAATATGTGTTTGAGTTTAAATCTACATATTGGTATCTGCTCTCTATTTGATGGCCTGTTCTGTGTTCCTTTTTTCATTTTTTTGAATTGTTAGAGTATTTTAAATGATTCTGCTCTTCTCTATTTAAGCTTGGTGGTTACAAGTTGTTCTACTTGTCCTCTTGTTAAAGGCCACAGCATGTATCCTGGACTTATTAAAAAGTCTGACATAGTATAGTTACCTCTTTCTTAATAGAGGAGTTACCTCTTTCTGGGCTTTAACTTCCTCCTGATTTAGATGCTATTGTGGTCATGTATTTTAATGGTCTGTGTAGCTCAAACTCCACAAAATGTTTTGTCTTTTACAGCGCTAACCTGCTGATACTCAATTTACACACCTATTTATAGTTCCTGTCATCCTTCATTTTCCTACATCTTCAGTCTTCCATTTGGGATCACGTTCATTCTACTTGAAGAATATACTTTAATGCAGGTTCAGTGAGTTTACTTTTGTGTGGAAATGTCTTTATTTTGACTCTGTTTTAAAAGGATCTTTCTGCTGGTTATGGAATTTTGATAGTTGTTTAATTTTCGCGCTTTAAAGATAACCAATTATCTTCTGGTTTTAAAATTTCTTTGAGGAATCTATTATCATTCTTATTTTCTCTTTTCTCTTTTTTCAAATGTATTATGCCTGCCCTAGCTGCCTTTAGTCATTTTTCTTTTTGGTTTTTCAGCAGTTTTCCTGGGAGGTGGCTACATGTAGGATTTTGTCATCACCCCTCCACCGCTACCCCCCTGCTTTTTCTTTTGCATTTATACTGCTTGAGGTTGTAAACATCTCTTGAATTTGGGGACTCTTTTTTCACATATCAATTCTATCTCATTCTCACTTGTCCTGATAATCCAATTAAACATACTAGGATCTCCCACTCCTACCCCTCACCCAGTGCCTCCTACATTCTGAATTTGCTTCATTCTGGTTGCTTTCTTCTGACCTATCTTCCAATGTGCTAAAATCTCACCTCAGTTGTCTAATCTGCTAAAATCATTGAGTTCTTTTTGGTTTCACTATTTTTCACTTTTATAGTTTCTAATCCTCTGCTGAAATGTGTAATCTTGACTTGTACTTCCTTCAATATGTAAGGCACAATTGTTTTAAAATCTATGTGGTAATCCTATCATGTGGATCCCTTATGAGTGTGTTTCTCTGGTCTTTTAGATTGTGATCACATTGTCTTGTCTTGTGGAATGCCTGGTTGGTTTTGATGGAGTGGTGAACTGTCGGGGAAATTTGAGGTCTAAGATGATGTTATCGTCCTACAGAAAATATATGAGATTACCTTTAGTGGGTGGTCATTACTTTATTCCAGTTAGCAATTAAAATCATTCAAAAACGGCTTAATCCCTTTAAAGGACATTGTATTTATTGCCCGTTCAGTACTCCAAGTGTGCAGCTCTTTTCTGGTCTCAACCCAAAGCCTAGGGCTTTTACTAGGGGTCCTTCTCATTGGCAGTCCTGAACTCCACTTCTTGTTTCTCTGAACCCCGGGATCTGTTGAAAGTTCTTTTCAACCTTCTTATATGTCTGCATTGTCTTCAATGCACGGATGAACCTGGGGGAAAATGGCTTAAGATGCCAGGCTTACTTATAATTCTGTGTTTTTTCCTACTGGATTTCCTTCACTGCCTTATTAGCTTTCTGATGCCTTAAAGCACATTCTTTATATTTTTGTCCATATGTTCTTATTTTCAGTGTTTGCAGACTAACTCATCCATTATTGGAAACAAAATTCTCTTGAATCTTTCTTCAAGACTTGTTTTTTCCACATCCCTTCCTAAGCCAGAGTCAGAGAGGGATTGTTCTGTTCTTATGTGCACCTTTTACACATTCAACTGTGAGCCCCTTTAGTGCAGAGGTGGTACTTACCATACCCATGCCTTTATCTTAGCCTCTTACAAGGTAACTAGTATATTATAGCCACTCATGAAATATTTGCTGAAGTATTGAATGAGCAGTTGTAAAAGAGTACATAAACTTCTTTCTCTTTAGTGTTAATAACCCTTTTTACTATTTTACTATAGCTTCTCTATTTTTGTTTCCAATTTGTAGAAAATTTTCAAGTACCTTTTGCATCAGAACTATAAGTAAAGAAATACAAGGGTAACTACAGGTAGCACTTTTAAACCATTAAACGTTGCTGCCTTTACAATCTGTGTTATAGTTGGCTGACCTCTTGAGCTTGAAGGTTGTCAGGTTAAAACCAGTTTCCAGTACATGGCACCCTGATTACGGGACAGTTTGGATTCTTTTTCTGTTCAACAGACATTGCCGATACTCAGATTTGTCTCTCTGCTTAATCATGATTCCATTGAAATAGGTAGGAAAGCTCCATGTCTGTAGTGTGAAAATGTTCTGGGGTTAATTGTACAGTTAAGGACATGTTCTAAAAAGCTCTTTCATTGGCTGTCTTTATCGTGGTACCATTCTTGGATTGAGAAACAGCCCATAAGAAAATTAATTAGTGGTCTTTCCATGGCTAGAAATAAGAGAAGTAATTATCTCCTGCATTATCCTAATAAGCTTAACTGTGTTAGGTTGATCAGTCCTGGCTTTCTACATTGAAGAAAAGTGCGCATTCATCATTTCAACACAACAGTCTTTCCCATGGGACACATAGTGCTTTTTACATTTGTATTATTTACTAATGAGGAGAGAATTATGAGACATTAGAAAATGCAGGTGATGTATCAACAGGCCATACTTTGATTTTTATCCTGAAGAACAGTTTGAGTTCCTTCCTATGACTTTGTATAATCTATGCATTTTTAAGAATAGGATAGGAAGTGAGATTTTATTAGAGTATTCAGACAGAATGCCAGGAGGAAAAGAGAAACACTTCCACTGACAACCAGTTTTATCTTAGGAAACTGAGTCAAGAAGAGTATGAACGACAAGAAAGAGAGCACAGGCTGTCAGCTGCAGATGAAAAGGCAGTTTCAGCTGCAGAGGAAGTAAAAACTTACAAGTAAGTTCACCTTCTAAAGAGGGTATCAGTGGCTAATGAAACTAGTGTTGGCTTTTTTTATTAGCACCAAAGCACAAATAAATGGTTAGAGGACATGAATACATCAGTTCACAAAAAAGAAAAACTATATTTTAAGTTAACAAATGGAAAAATATTAACAAATAGCCAGTGTTGGCAAAACTGTAAGGGAACTTGATTCATGCAAACAGTTCTAGGGGTCGGGGGGCGTGGGGGCAGTTTGTTGTATGTGTCAAAAGCCATTAAAGTGATTTTGCCATTTGATAGACCCAGTAGTCCTAACTTTGGGAAATTTTTTTATAATATAATTAAAGGATGAAAAAAGGTTTATAGTGGAAGATATTAATAATAGGATTATTTGAGAACATATTTAGGAACAGTTAAAGAAATTTTAATTTATCAACTCAGAATCTCCAGCTGTTAAAGGAAATTATGTATCATTAGTTTTCATCATATTGTACTTTTGTTATAACCAACCATGTAAAATATGCTTTATATTTCTGGATAAGCTGTATTAGGGTATAGTTGTTAGGGTAAAGGTTAACATAGTCAGATGGTTTGGGTTTTTATTTGGTTGTGCTTTAAATGATAAAACCAAGTGTAATTCTTAGGCGGAGAATTGAAGAAATGGAGGATGAATTACAGAAGACAGAGCGGTCATTTAAAAACCAGGTAATAATTCTAGTGCCCTACTATATAGTGCCCGGAATTCTTTGATAACTACTACAGGCTATTATAATGAATCTGTAAGCATATTTTGTGATGTATTATCTTTTTCAGATCGCTACCCATGAGAAGAAAGCTCATGAAAACTGGGTAAGATTTGTTTTTTCTTTACCTTATTTTGTGCCTAGTCTCCCACAGCTGAATTTGGATATTTTTCTTCAATAGCTCAAAGCTCGTGCTGCAGAAAGAGCTATAGCTGAAGAGAAAAGGGAAGCTGCCAACTTGAGACACAAGTATGTGATTTTGATGCCTGTATTTTCAGTGTGTGATGTCTTAAGGAATTGGTTTCTGTTTCATATTTAAGTCTGTCTTAAATATTCTTTCTCTATATTCAAGATTATTAGAATTAACACAAAAGATGGCAATGCTGCAAGAAGAACCTGTGATTGTAAAACCAATGCCAGGAAGACCAAATACACAAAACCCTCCACGGAGAGGTAAGGGAGCACCTTGTAAAGGGCAGCAATCTGTTTTTTGATGTAAAATGTATATACGTGACTTTTTGTTTCTGTGTGTAATGGTATGGTACCCTAGGAATAATCCCAAGAACTGAGTAAAGGAAAAAAGTCTGTCTTAAAATGTTAACACGACGCTGTCATCTTTAGGTCCTCTGAGCCAGAATGGCTCTTTTGGCCCATCCCCTGTGAGTGGTGGAGAATGCTCCCCTCCATTGACAGTGGAGCCACCCGTGAGACCTCTCTCTGCTACGCTCAGTCGAAGAGATATGCCTAGAAGTGAATTTGGTGAGCATTCACGTGTTTCCTTGCAATACTCTTTTGGGTGGTTTTTTTCCCTTTTATTTGAGAATTCTAATGCAAACACTTTAGAATTCGGGTCTGTCCAGTATAGAAAAGAAAATTTCTTACTTTGTCTTGGCGGATTCAACTGCAAGTATTCAACTGAAATATTTTGCTTTAGAACAGAAGGCATTTATTATTTTCCTTTATTGTTTTGTTTCTTATTTTTTTACTCTGAAGTATAAGCTTTTATCTTTCATTTAAAGTTCTGTGGGATTCCTCTCCCAAATACAGCTGACACTTGAACAACACAAGTTTGATCTGTGCAGGTCCACTTCTATGCAGATTTTTTTCAAAAAATATCTTGGGAAATTTTTTGGAGCTTTGCAATAATTTGAAAGAACTTGCAGATGAACCACATAGCCTAGAAATATAAAAAAATTTAAGAAAAATTTATGTATGTCGTGAATGCATAAAATGTATGTAAATACTAGTCTATTTTATCATATACTATTGTAAAATATACAAAGATCTATTTTTAAAAGTTAAAATTTATCAAAACTTGCACAAGCACAGATGTACCTGATACCATTCACAATTGGGAAAAAATAAACATATGTAAAGATGCAGTTTTAAATCATAAATGCATAAGATTAGCTGTAGTACATACTGTACTACTGTAATAATTTCATAACCACCTCCTGTTGCTACTACAGTGAGCTCAAGTGTTGTGAGTATCTGCTTAAAACACCATGTGATGTTAATCTCCATGTGGGCAGTTCATCTTTCCAGTAAATTGTGTATCACAGTAAACATAATCTCTCATGGTTCTTGTGTATTTTTCACGTTTAGTGCAATACCATAAACTTGAATAACACCATGGGACCCATATAAAATGCCACTAGTGATGCTGGAAGTATTCTCCAGAAGCAGAGTCATGACACTACTAGAGAAAGTTGAATTGCTTTGATATATACCATAGATTGGAGTGTGCAGTAGCAGTTATCAGTCATTTCAGTCAGATGATTCATCTTGTAAACAGACCATCTACATGTACAGTACAAATACAATACAGTGCTATAAATACATTTCCTCTTATGATTTCAATAACATTTTCTTGAGCTTGCTTTATTAAAGTAAGAATACAGTATACAATATATATACAGAATATGTATTAACTGTTTATGTTATTGGTAAGGCTTCTGGTCAATAGTAGGCTATTTATTAGTAGGTAGGTTTTAGGGAGTCAAAAGTTACACGTGGATTTTTGACTGTGCAGAGGATCAGCACACTTAACCCCTGCATTGTTCAAGAGTCAACTGTATTATAAAGTAGCCTTAATAACTTTATGCGGCATACATGTTTCCACTTCTCATTACTATAGTATGAAACGCTGTTAAGTCTATTTTGAATCCTAAATATGTCTATAATACTCGGTAAGATACAGAAGTCAGATTACATATACACTGAACAAAAATCACCATGTAGAATACAATACATGGAAGTCTGTAGCTTGAAGTGTAGAACCAGAGCCATTAATGTGCAGGATTTATTGTTCTTTCAGTGCAAGGCAGTTTTTATTTTAATTCTTTAAGTCCGTGCATAAATTGTAAGTGATTTCCCTTCATAAGGATTGGGAGACCCATTTTTAATATTGCTTTCCAGATAGACTTGAACCCTGACCTGTCTACAATTGATTATTTCTTCCAAAAAATACATATAAGGGCTCTGTTATTTCTTTCTCAAGGATCAGTGGACGGGCCTCTACCTCATCCTCGATGGTCAGCTGAGGCATCTGGGAAACCCTCTCCTTCTGGTAAGGGAGCAAGAGTGTTCAAAGAGTCTAAAACCATGCAGGAAGTGGGCAGAGGAATTTTTTTTTTTTTTAAATCCTCCTTACAGAGTACACAAGTCAGGGTAAGTCTAAATCAGTTCTCTGGTCTTTAACAGATCCAGGATCTGGTACAGCTGCCATGATGAACAGCAGCTCAAGAGGCTCTTCCCCTAACAGGGTAATCGATGAAGGCAAGGTAAATGCACCCATTTTGAATAGTTAGTTATTTCAGGACATTTAGCTTTTCCTACAACTCTGTCTTTGCCTCATCTCCTATTTGTGTGTTCTACCTGTACTATCTCATTTATTTTTTAAAAAAGCAAACTGTTCTGCAAGAGCCTGAAGTCCCCTCAGTTCCCAGCATTACATCTTTGGCTGAGCGTCCAGTAGCAGTAAGTACTTAGAAGTGTGGACTGAACTGGGCTATAAGTTGCATGGCAATATTGATCTTACTTTTATCCTTGACTTGGGAGTGTTGCTGAAATCTGATGGATTCATTGGCCTTTTCTCCTCTCTCCTGTTTGGTTAGACATTTAACCTGTGTAGAGCATCTGCTGTAACTGTAATTAACTTAAACAAAAGTGAAAAGTCCCCACTCTTGTGTGTTTCAGTGTTTAATGCTATTAGGCAAAGTAAATTCATTGTAAATTGTGTAATTCATTACTATGTCTTCATTTGGAAGTGTGGTATTTAAGAATACCTCCAATTGTATACTAGGCAAACCCTATTTTGAATGATCTGAAATTACAGATCGATAACAGAAGAATGTTTGCTGGAAGTGAAATACTGAATAGTGAAAGTCTATAATTACCCATTGAGCCAGTTCCCAGCAGTGTCCTTAAACAGTGTTCACATAAGTATATTCTCTTGTAACTTGTGTAGCTGTTATGGCTAGTAAGTCCTCTGATCATACCTCACCGTGATTCTCTACATTGAAATTAAAATAAGTTTAATGATTGAGAGTTTCGAACCCACTTTCCCATAGGAAATGATTAATCAGTATCTCATAGTAGACAGTATTACTAGTGAATGAAGGTAGATAGAGCTGTGCCTGTGTAATTTGTATACATAACATTGTTTCTCTTGGAAAATACTTCCAAGTTCCAGCAGAGGACTCCAGGAATACACATCTCTTGAGAAATGTTTTTATCCAAGGGCAGCTTGGATAAGACCCAAGACCCCTTTGAAGTAGGAGACTTCAAAGAGTGTAGAGGCTGTTTTGTGAGACAGGAGAAGCAGAGGTGGAAAGAACGTGGCCTTGGAGTCAAACCTGGCATTGAATTCCAGCCAGCCTCTTACATGCGGTGTGACCGTCAGCAAATCTAATACTCTCTGTGCCTGTGTTCCTGCATATTTAGAACAAGATGGTCCTATTAGAGATTTAGAGATGTGATAATTCGAGTTAATATATGTAAGGCCTACAGAAGGTACTCTGAATAATCACTATTACATGGTAGAGAATGGATTTTTCATTCCCATTCATTCTCTGCATCCATAATATGGAAATTACTCTGATGGGAGGGATGTGCAGAGGGAGTGACTGCCTTAGAAATAGACGTATGAATGGCATAACTTCTATATTAGTCAGGAATGACCTCCATTTATAACCTGTGCGTTCCCTTCCATTTGCAGATGTAAGCAATAATATGATTATAGCAAGTGTTCACTCCTGCGGCGTACTTTTAACCTTTCTAAGCTATCAGTGGTAACAAATGAGAGGGGTAGAGTTTTTTGCACTAATTCTGCTCTTCGGACAAATGCCTGATATCTGCTTCATTGGGTTTTAGTTTTTACTGGTGTTGGTGCTTTTGTCTGTCATACCAGAGTATTTCAAAACTTCAATTGCTCCTACTCTGCAGGTTAATGTGGCTCCAAAAGGGCCCCCTCCTTTCTCAGGAGTCCCTCTCATGAGCACCCCTATAGGAGGCCCTATACCACCACCCATTCGATATGGACCACCGCCTCAGCTCTGCGGACCTTTCGGGCCTCGGCCACTTCCTCCACCCTTTGGTAAGATGATCTGAACAGTAGTGATTGACTTGTAAAGCACATTCATCTCCCTCTATCCCTTGCTAATACAACTGTAATTGCAGGGCTTTGCAATGCAGTGATGAAGCTGATTGAGTACATTGTTAACTTTTCCCCAAGTTTCTTAGGACACAAAGGGTGCTGCATAATCTCCTGTGATTAGATGGGCAATAATTGTCTGTAATAGAACAAGGAAAGGGGCTATTCATAAAAAGCCAGAAATATTAAGCACATGTTTATTGAACATTTGTGGCTGTGTACTAGGCTCTGCAATGGATAGCAAGGTAGATAAAATATATCCCCTAATTAAGATGTCTTGTAGGTCACAAATATACACACTCTACAACATAAAGCTTCTAATCACCCATAATGGAAGCATAAGCAGTAGGTCACAGGATATTAGGGAAAGATGCAAACCCTCAGTCCTCACCTTGGGAATACAAAGGAAGGAGATATGAAAGAGAAGGTAGAATTTAACAGCTATCTAATGAATGCTGCTGAATTTAATTAGATGCAGCTGGAAGGCCTTTTTCAGCAGGGCAAGCACCTTAATTTTTAAGGCATTATTAGCTCCATCTTGAGCTACTGCATAATTTTTTTTTTTTTTTTTTTGAGATGGAGTCTCGCTTGTTGCCCAGGCTGGAGTGTGGTGGCACGATCTCTGCTCACTGCAAGCTCCGCCATTCTCCTGCCTCAGCCTCCCAAGTAGCTGCGACTACAGGCGCCCGCCACCACACCCGGCTAATTTTTTGTATTTTTAGTAGAGACGGGGTTTCACCGTGTTAGCCAGGATGGTCTCGATCTCCTGACGTCGTGATATGCCCGCCTCGGCCTCCCAAAGTGTACTGCATAAATTTGTAACTGATACACAGTAGTTAATGGAATTTATCAAAATTTTTATTGTAATAAAGCCATATTTAGTCTGTCTTCTTGGTATGGTGGAGTGCAAATCTATCTCTTTTGAAGATAAAGATGATAGGCCAGGCACAGTGGCTCACGCTTGTAATCCCAGCACTTTATGAATCCCACCATTCATTAGATGAGGCTGAGGCGGGTGGATCCCTTGAGTCTAGGAGTTTGAGACCAGCGTGGGCAACATGGTGAAACCGCCATCTCTACAAAAAATACAAAAATTAGCTGGGAGTGGTGGCATCCATCTGTAGTCCCAGCTACTCGGGAGTCTGAGGTGGGAGGATCGATTGTGTCCAGGAGATTGAGGCTGCAGTGAGCCATGGTCACTCCACTACACTCCAGTCCAGGTGACAGACAAGACTCTGCCTCCAAAAAAAAAGAAAGGATGACAGACCGTATTAACATACCTGGCATTATCTTAATTTAGATATGTTCCTAGGAATTTACTAGAAATAATTTTTGTTTTCCAGGCCCTGGTATGCGTCCACCACTAGGCTTAAGAGAATTTGCACCAGGCGTTCCACCAGGAAAACGGGACCTGCCTCTCCACCCTCGGGAATTTTTACCTGGACACACACCATTTAGACCTTTAGGTCCACTTGGCCCAAGAGAGTACTTTATTCCTGGTGCCCGATTACCACCCCCAACCCATGGTCCCCAGGATTACCCACCACCACCTGCTGCAAGAGACTTACCGCCATCAGGCTCTAGAGATGATCCTCCTCCTGCCTCTCAGAGCACTAGCCAGGACTGTTCACAGGCTTTAAAACAGAGCCCATAACTATGACCTCTGACGTTTCGTTGGAGAGAAAGTGTACTGTGCATTATTCATTACAGTAAAAGATTTCATTGGCTTCAAAATCCAAAAGTTCATTTTAAAAGGTTTGTTGTTAGAACTACGCTGCCTTGGCAGTGTGCATTTTTGAGCCAAACAATTCAGAAATGTCATTTCTTCCCTAAATGAGACACCTTTTAAGCTAGAGCGTCCTTACAACTTTGAAATGTGCAATAAAGAATACCTGTGTTTTAGCTAATGTAGCATATGTAATTGCTAAATGATTTAGAATGTCATGAAAAATATGAACATTTCCTGTGGAAATGCTTTAAGAACATGTATTTCCATTATCCTATTTTTAGTGTACACCAGCTGAATACGGAGCAATGGTGTTTATAAGCTTTTTTTTTTTTTTAAACTATCTGGTCACAAAGACTGTTACGCTAAAAATGTTTACTAAAAGATCACTAAACTTCATCTCCCCTCTTGCTGAAGTTCTTTGTAGTAACAGCTCATAAAAATTTGTTATTAATATTTCCCAAGTGTCTGTTGATTCATTGGACTGTTAATGAGGCTTGTGCGATTTGGGGAACATGTACACTCAGGCTCCCAGAACTGAAGATGGTGGCTGGTGGCACACTTCCGGCTGCTACCCCGTCACCTGTGAACTCTACAAGTGATGTCTTTTCATTTCAAAGAAGTTTATGTCCCACTTGTATAGCATTCACATGCTTTCTTTACGATCCTCATTGTCTATTTAGAATGGTTTTCTGAGAGTGAGTTTACATTAGTAGCAAGTTGTTTGACCTGATGTTCTATTGCTTTTACCATTCCTGTAGAAAAAAGGTACACAACAGAAAAATGAAAATGATGTGTCATGGCCATAAAAGTACAGAAATCTTTAAAAATTTTTAAATGTACAGTCTCGTCTTTCCCATTCCTTGCCACTGATTTTTGAGGAATATAATAAAAAGATTGGAAGAGTATAATGCCATGAGAAAGAATGATTTAGGACTATGAGGCTTACAACATGCCCTAGGTCAGCAATCAAGGGTTGAAATCAGTTTTTTTTAAGGGAGGAAGAGGGGGGGCGACAGGTGTTATTCCAAAATTAATATTTAAACATTGGTGCTTTTATTTAAAAATCAGTAACTAACCATCTGGAATTGCAGCATACTTAAAGTCTTATCCATTACTACACTGTGCCTTTAAAACAATGTTTCTTTAAATACTCTACAGCATTTCTAAGAACTAACTTCAGACATTTTAATTACAGTAATAATAGCACTCCTTTTAAGGAGTTTAAGATCTAGACTAAAACTAAAATCATAAAAGGCTGATACTTTTGTTTGCTGCTAGGTTACATTCTTCCATTCATTGAAGTCCTATGATGTAATATTTCTGAAACCTAGTGTATGTCTTGTCACTGTTGTGATGTTTAATTGATTAAGAATATCTTGTAAAAAGGAGTAAAAGCTTCAATGTGGAACAATTTTCTCTTTATACTAAACAACTGAAGATAGATAGTTTAAAAAGATAAGGACTTTGAAAGAAGGCAACTCTGTCAAAGTTCATAAGGAATATATAAATTCTTCAGGAAAAGAGAATTCAATCTATATGTCCTCCCATTTAATATCAAGAATAGAAGAAATTAAGAGGAAAACTCCACAGAAGAGCATAGGCCACTTTTAGCCATGTAAAATAAGATTAAGTCACAAATACAATTTTTGAATTTACCTGTCAGTCTCTTTAGGACACAAAACAATGCTGAAATTAATATAATTTCTAATTTTAAATGTCATTTAAGTGTAGATTATGCCATCTAGGAAGGTAAGTAGAAAAGGTAAATTAAATCTATTTTTAAAATTCAAAATTAGAGTATTTTTCCCCTCTAAAGCCTTTTTTGGTGATGATTCTGTATCTGACATAATTGAGAAACTGGCAAGCTGTGGAGATTCCAGTGTAGCTTCTCTGAGAAGTTGTGAGCCAGTCCATAACTGCTTCCTCTCACATCCATCTGATTGCACCATTTCTGCAGCAAACCCCAAAGCAGGGCGCCAAAACGCAGATGGCATAGGGAGTATGTCAAATCACTTTTCCATCTCCAAAGTTTCATCTATTTCGGAAGTCATCTCCAACTAATTGTGTCTGGATTTAGTTGCTAAAATTGTCTTATTTATGAAGCAGCAATATTCAGCCTGAAGGCATTTCTGCTATGGTTGTAGTGACATCGTCAATGGCTGATTTTTTTCATTGGAAAGTAAGTAATTTGTGGGATGTAGTATATTCTGTGTCAACTGCAAGACAATCACTCATTTTCTCATTATATTCAAGTCCGAATTAAAGTTAAGCTAATCACACAGTGTTCAATTTAAGCTTCTTTAATGTTGATGAAAGGTATTTGTAGTTCATATAAACCATACTTATGTGAAGGATAGCAGATGCTTCATATAAATTATCACTTTGATATACATATCTTACGGTTTATGAGAAAAGAGAAAAAATAATACATCGGTTTTGCTACATTTTAATCGTTTTTTTTAAGGGATTGTTTTTTAGGTCTTGTCAGCAACATCAAACAAAAGGTACTGAGTACTCCACAGGGTACAGAGTGCTGCCAAGCACCTTAGAAAAATTACATGACACGGAGAAAATGCGCTTCTTGCTCCTTGAAGAGCTTACAGTCTAGGGATTTGACAACTCACAGTCTTAGGAACTGAGTGAACAATAAAGTAAGGCAAATTCTTCATCCCTTAGAGCTATTGTGGACTGACTCATTTTAGAATTTGGAATTAATCCAATCAAGATGAGAGACAAGACTAAATTTGGCCGAGAATTCGTTCAGGCTCACACAGTTTTTATTAACATCCGTCTAGTAAACAGAATGGACATAACAGACAACTGAAAGTAAAGACTAGATCTCTTGAAGTGCAAGGGCTAAAACAACTTAATTGTGGTTACTTATTTTAAAAAGCAAACATACTGAATGGTATGACTAGGGTGATTACACTAGTTTAAAAATAGGCCAGGTACTGACACTGCATTCCCCTCATGCATTGCTCATTTAAAATAGTGAATATTAAAATATGTGGGCTTTACATCTAACCCACAGAAAGCCCACCACAAATGTTCTGTGTATCAAATATCCACCTCATGTGTACTATGAAAGTTTTATTTATGCCCCATTAAGTCAAAAGTAAATAGTCAAATCATAGTAAGCTAATGACCTGCATATTTTCATATGGATGAATGTCAGTATATCTAAATAGGAAATAAATGGCAATCCTATCTACCTATATAAAAAAAATAGAATATCTTTCCAGATTTTGCATACTCCTCACTATAAGAAGAGGTATGCGGGTTTTAAGGTTTCACAATCAGTTGTCAGAAAAACAGCAGTTATGCCTGCAGTATCTCGTTAGCATCTGACTCAATTATTTTTAGATTACATGTTTAGAAGACATTGTAAACCCATCTAAAAATCTGTAATTACTTTGAGATGGTTCCAATGTTAACCCTAGAATCATCATCAGAAAGAGTAACAACGTGATGTAGAAGAACAGCTAATCAACATGACTAAAAATATGCTCATTTTCAGAAAAACAATCTGGTCATCTGGAAACAATCACAGCTACAACCTAGGGAACACTCCCATATGGGATACTGATCTGGCCAAGGCACACTTTCTAAGCAGGAAAACTATCAGATCAGGGTGAATTTAGGCCACTTCAGAGGAGCTGCCTATAAACATCCAGACAGACCTTCTTAGGCCGCAGAACTGGTCCAATTCCTCTTAAAGCAGTTTGACACTACCCTACCCACATCAACCCAAAGCTTGAAGTTAAGTCAAAAGAGCATACTGGAGCAAAAGTGAACAGATGTGTAAACTCTAGCACATTCTTATTGCTGTATTAAGTCTGAAGATGAGCACATCCTACCCACAACAGTATTGTTCCAGGAAGCAGGGTAGGAGTAGTGGTAAATTAGAAAATAGACTATTAATTGCACAATTAATAGAAAAGTAAAAACATGTTTCAAAATCTGCAATAAACCTGTATCCAAAGGAGTCCTATATGTCAGTGATGTGCTGGACTTTGAATTCTGTGGTACAGCTTTGCACTGGACTCCCTCTGGCCTACTGGTCTGGGTACGGCTTGCTTCCTGCCTGTTGAAGGGTGAATACGCTACACAGAGCTATGATGGTTTCTACTGAGTGGTAAAATTCACAGAAGTTCCAGGTTCATCATGTCAGGATCATTCCTTGTGCAAAGTTTGATGTAGATGAAGATAAAGTGGTTTCTTGGTCAATAATTGTAATTTCTTTCTTTTAAAGTCAGTGGGTTTCTTGTATCTGTAATCACAACAGAAGGATGATTGTTTAAAACACTTTGATAACTGAACTCTTCCAAGGTTAAATACTGGATATGGGGGATTTAGAAGAAATATATACTAGTCACCATCAAATTAGTACTAACTCTATATGCACACCACTTACAGTTCTATTACAATTGGCCCAGGTTTAATTTCATCCATCTCCATGAAAGCAAAACACTTGGTGCTGGTAAACCTTTTTTTAGGCTTGTAGTGTTTGAATTCAAAGAAGATAGCTGCACCTAAGGAATTAAAACAAGCCACATAAACCACAGATAGCACATTTCTTGTGTGTCAATTCATTTTCTTTGATCACCAGAAGCATATGAACAGCTACAGCGGGCATAATTTGACAAAACAACTTGTGCCAGTCTCAATGATTTGACAGTAACTTACTATGGTTGTCACCCCAAACTCGTCTGTATCTTAGAAGAGTGACATTTCTCCTTATCATCCAATTCTACAAACTATAGCAAAACTTCTTGAGCTACACTGCTTCAAGAATGTATAACAGTTATGTACACAGGTAGAATCATAAGCTGCTATAAAATACGAAATGCCACAGAAGAACAAAGAAGATACTTCAATACACATAGAAACTCATTAGGTAGAAAATGCATTTAAAAGAGTTCCTAAAAAAATTTAAGCTTGAATTATTTCCCTTACCCCGAAACAAAAACTCAAAAATTCAGTCTTGGGGGTATTTTGGAATTCAAACAACATAAATCACATGTTGGCTGAGCTGTAAAATGTTATCTCTTTCCCTAATACCTTTTGCAGTATTCAAAGCACTGTTGTGTTTTTCCTGGAACTGCATGTTTGTGTCAAGGCAGTGCTGTAGAAGACAAAAGGTTCAAAGAGCAAATCTATCTATTCTGCCACTCTCCTCCAATGAGCAAGTGATAATGAGAAATTTAGACAGTTCTGGCCAGGTGCAGTGGCTCATGCCTGTAATCCCAGCATTTTGGGAGGCAGAGGTGGGCAGATCACTTGAGCCCAGGAGTTTGAGACCAGCCTGGGCAACATGGTAAGACCCCACCTCTACAAAAAAATTTTTTAAATAGCCGGGCTTGGTGGCAGGTGCCTGTAGTCCCAGCTACTCGGGAGGCTGAGGAGGGAGGACTGCCGGAGCCCAGGGAGACTGAGGCTGCAGTGAGCCATGATCA